TTGTGGGGTTTATTTCAGGGGCTTCAATTGGCCTGGGAGCGGGGATACCGACAGGTTGTAGCTGAAGTTGATAGTCAGTGTGTGCGGAACATGATACGTGGATCACAAGCGCATTTTGGTGTCCACGAGTCACTAGTCAGAGCCATTAGGAGCTTGCTCCATCGGGATTGGAGTGTTCGGATTCAGCATGTGCATAGCGAGGCAAATTTTGCAGCTGACCATATGGCGTCACTAGCAGCGTCGTCCCCGCTAGGATTTCGGAGAATCTCATCACCTTCTCAAGGACTGTCTGCTTGGTTGGACCACGATATTCGTGGGGTGGCCCGCCCTTGTCGAATACTAGTATGATAGTTTCCTGGCCTCCAGCCTCCATCTTTGTACCAAAAAAAAAAAAAAAAGATGCTCAATAACATGAATAAGATAGATAGTTTATTAATTCATTAATTCAAAATAACATTTCATAGGGGGATTCCAATTCCAGTACGTACATCAACCTAACATAGCCCATAATTCACCAAAAAAATATTGAAAAATACATACTTCAGTTCAACATCTTAAGATAATGGACATGACCCTTTCTACCAAACACACTCACAACAAGAACTAAAACAACAACAATCAAAGAAACCATAAAAACACTCATTCTCCTTTCAAGGTTTTTCAATTGAGTTATGGTTTTCTCAAGAACCAAAATCATGTCAACATTCTTGTCACCTTGATCCTCAACAACTGCCACTTTTTCTTCAAGATCCTCTTTCAAACTCGATATGTGATTGTGAAATTTTTCCATGTCTTGCAGCTTTTCTTCCAAACCATGTTTTTGAGCCTTCAATCTTATGAATCATGTCCTTTGAAACTCGGGCAATGATTAATCAATCTATTAAAATAACCCACAATCATTATGCTACATATCAATAAAATGCAAATTTCATCCAAATTCACATTACATCCAAGGCATTGACATACATTTCACATGAACAGCACACTCATTCCATTCATTTTTTTTTCTCATTCCTGTTTTCACATTCTCAGCCAAAATTCACGAAAAAAAAATCATGAAAATTTTATTGTAATTACATTACCTCTCTATCCCGACATCTATAGAACCTTCTACATGGATTATCATTCGTCATGGAGGTGAGAACGACCGCATATCTACCGTGGCACAACTTCCACGTCGACACATTGGAGGCACAACTATGTTCAAAATTTTGGGGATGATTAACTGCTAATTTTGGGGTTAGAGTTAGGGATATTAGCTGCGAAATTTGGGGAAGAAATAATTATGGTTCTTATGTTTGAGATGGAATCCCCAAATTCATGCCCGATTTTTCATGTTCTCCGCAAATGCACTTTGTGCCGTGTATTTCGAGTTTTTTAACACGCCAGTTTAGTCGTGCCATTTCAGCGAGCAACCGAGGCCACGTAGGACCCGACGCCGGAAACCTGTCCAAAAATTTACCGCCGACAAACATTGGGTTCGGGTTGCAATTTTTATACAAGGTCATGATATGTTTGTCTATTTCCAAAAGTTTGGTTAAAATGTCCAAAACGTAAAAGGTCATGATCCTGACGGCAATTACTCCTTTATTATATCGTGAACTTTGCTATAATTAAAATAATAATGCAAAAAAATTGAATAAGTCATATAAACATAAAAAATATAATTTGAAATCACAAAAACACATTCATTACGCGCGCACTTTACAGAGGTATATCAAGAAGGAAAGTAATACATTCACTAAATGCTCGTTTGTTCTTATATTGGTAGAAGAATACATACATAATATACCAATAATTTATCGTCACCCCGCAAAATATCCCAACTATACAACTGGAGAAAATCCAACATACCCACATGTCTTACATATTGTTCTTGATTATACACAGAAACTCAAATACAGTCTGGAGTCTTGCTACAACAAACAAAATAGAGAGAACAAATCACTCACTCTCAGTGCACTTGACGACTGGTTGACCGACCAAAATAACGAAAAGAAAAACCAACCACCTTGTGAACAGCTGAACCTCTGTGTTCTCTTTTACGACCTCCTTTCCCTGAAATTCTCGGAGACAGCTCGCCTGCGGTTGAACCTGAAATCCCAAATGAGAGAGGCATTCATGAAGCTTCTAGAAGGTGCCCTGTTTGGCTGCTCCTTGTCATTTTTTTTCCTCCTTGAGCTCAATGTACTTCATAGGGACCTTGAGGATTTTCGGTCAAAAATGGATGAAGCAAATGAAGAAGTATCAGCAACTCCGAATGACGTGTGGCCCACAGCTGCATCCTCATGTGGTGGGGGGAACTTGTCACTTTTGCTTCTGCCTTTTGCATCTGACATTATTCTCATCCTCTGCACACACACATCAAAATATTGTTTTTTTTTTTAAAAAAAAAAAAGTGTTTCCATTATGAAAACATCCAATTTAACCTGTAAAAGCTAAACCCAAAACATACTCTACTTCAATGGAGCAAGAAGAACGGAGAAAAAGAATAAGCAAAATGGAAATGAAAAAAGAAGTTTGCACATACGTCTAAGTTGGTTTGGAGCTCTGCATTAGCTTCTGGAGCAGGAACTGCCCGGCTGATCTTGTCACGTGCTCTCGTTCGTCTGCTGGCATCCGTTGCCCGGCTGATCTTGTCACGTGCTCTCGTTCGTCTGTTGGCATCCGTTGCATGAGGTTTTGCATTTAAACCTCGTTTTCTGCAAACGAATAAAAACAGAAATCAGCAGAAACACACGATTAAGATTTTCGCAATAGTGGCTAAAGAAAAAGAGATGGAAGTTAAAGAGAAGACTAAAATTTAAAAATGAAAGAACATCACCTTCTATCTTCTTCGTCTCTCAATTTGATGTCCATTTCTTTACTGGGTGGATATTTAGGTAAGCTTTCCGGTTCACAGGCATATGGTTCGGTCGTGAAAAACTGATTTGAAAGAAAAACAATTACATCTCCCATACGATTACTAAAATGTAAAATTGCATCCCATATAATTATCAAAATGTACAGAGTCGAACTAAAGTTGTAATATTACAAGATTTCAAATGAATTTAACATAATGTATTAACTGTTGTTGTATCTTCAACTTTTGTTTCATTGAGTGCTATGCTAGTAAAAGACCCAATTATTTATTGGTGAAGTTTCTTTAAAGATACATGGAATTGTTTGCAAGGGTTAATTGCAGTTTGCCCTCCAACTTATAGCCTTTCATACACTCTACCCATTGGACTTTGGAAAAGCATATTTTGCCCCTGACTATTGCCCTTCACTCCCTCTAGTTCTCTCCCAACAAAAAAGCTGACGTGTAATTTCATGATAAGTCGAAGTCGGCCCTCAAATGGTTAAGTGGAAAATTTTCTCGGTTATGCATGCAAAAGAGAGATTTTTAGCATAAAAATCGCAAAAGAGGGAGTATAAACTTACTTCACTATTCAATGCTGCTGTTGCTGTGCCTCGTGCATCGGGATCAATGGCAAGAAGAGATTCTAAAAGAGAAAGTGCAGTTGGCGGAAAATCCTTAAAAGTCTCTGCCAGGCATCGCTTGTAAGGTTGTTGAGGTTTATAAAGAGTTGCGTTTGGTAGTCGAGATTTTTTCTAATATTCTTCAGATGGTGAGCCGCATTGTTTAAATATCTTGTGCAGTTGCTCAACCTACGAGGAAGTCAATACATCTATCTATATATATATATATATATAATAAAATTTACTATTTATCAAAAATAGTAAGAAAATAATTCATCTAACATTAAATGCATTCCATTTTGGGCAAGTTTTTAAAAATTCTTACAATCAAATGGGGTAGCATTAAATGCACCCTATAATTGTGGACTTTGTTTAATTAATTATTACTAGTACATATCCCGTGCGATGCACGGAACAAAATATTAAATAAGTTTTTTCACATACTTCGTTCGTTTAAGTCTAAAAAACAATAAAATTATTATCCATTTTCCACTTATTTTAATCAGCGTTAAGTTTAAAATACAATAGATTATAATATGTTTTCCATGTCTTTCAATCAACCTTGTTTTTTTAGAGAGAACATTAGATATGAACATGTTATAGCTAGCTTGTAAAATAATTAGTATACTAACTCACTAACACATTTATACTAATATAAATTTGATTTTAATATATATATATATATATATATATATATATATAGGTAAAGGATCATATGAGAATAAGAGTTAGTGAAAGAAATAAGAATAAATGTGGACCATTAGATCCAACATATCAATGGACATGATGAAGTCAATATTAATTAACATTAGTCAAACCTGTTATGGCATAATTGTAATTATGAGTTTATTCTTGATCAAATAAATACCTTCAAGGACAGTTGTGTAATTTCAATGCCACAATTGAATTAGTGGGCCCCACATATAATAATTCCCAACTCCACCACCCACCCGTCTCTTTATCTCTCACTCTCTCTCTCCCCCTCTCCCACCATCTCTCTCACACTCGCACCTGCAACAAAGAGACTCCTCCGTCACCTCACACAGTCGCCGGCGTAAACCCATCGACGGCGTCGGCGGCCACATCAACTTCACCGACAACGGCCACCACTGGAGAACTCAGCTCCGCCATCGACCACAGTAGCAGCGGCCAGCGGGAGCTCCACCGTCGAACATGGAATTCGCCGCTGCTGCACAGAAAACACGCGCCTCCCGCCGCCGACGTTGGCAACAGGCCGCCGCCGCCTTCCACAGTCATCTCATAAGTCGCCGCCGTCATCATCTGCCGAAAATTGAGCCGCGTTGCTTCTCTGTGCAGTCGTCGGAAATCGCCCTTGGAGACGAACCAGACAATCTCCTCTACATCGACGAGTTTCTCGAACCGAAGATCTTCATCTGGCCGAGATGTGGTGGCAGAGCTCCATGGCTGACAACATTGAGGTCGTCGGAGGAGATGACAGCAGAGTCGGGAGCGGGCAGAGCGACGACGGGTTTACAAGCTCAGGCCCATGGCGACGTTGGCTGTAACGTCGACAACGACGCCGTGAATTTTGACCGGCAATTAGAGATGGTGGCCTGAGCGTGTTTTGATTTGGGAGGACTCGTGTTTGAAAATTAGATGACATTTAGGGGCATATTTACAATTTTAGTATTTTTTATTATATTTCAATTTAGGTAATGGGTGCAATTGATAATTAATAAATCTTAATTAATATTTTAATATTTTATTTATTTTCTGTTGGTTGGATCTCAATCGATTTTGTGCAATACGGTAGACAATCATGTGCAATATGTATAGTTATAATATGCGATCGAAACATATAAAAAATATAGATAAAAAATAGTATTATGTTTTGAATTAAAAATAAAATATATATATATATATATAAACGGTAATATTTTTTCATATAGTTATACATGTTTGATTATTCTGTATATTTTTAAAAAAACTAAATTCGCCGTTTAACCAACTAATATTATTCAATCGAGTATCATAATTACCATATATTTTGGTATGACAGCGTGACGTTTTATAAGGTGCAGTATGATATGTTAAAAAGTGCAATATATTGTTATGTAAAGTGCAACGTACTGATATTAAAGTGCAATACTTAAATTTCGGTACGTCAGCATGTATGTGCTTTTTTCTCTCTCTTTTTTTTTTAATTGTGGACAAATGATATAATGAATATTAGATTATTACGTTGATTTGTTTATTAGATTTATATTGCCTACTATTTTGGCGAGAATGTGGCGACAAAGTGCAACGCGTTGTATTATAAAGTGCAACGCGTTGTTTTATAAAGTGCAACATGTTAATATATAAAGTGACACACTGCAAATTTGGTACGTTAACATGCTTGTGTTTTGTGTGTATAAATGATGTTGTTAATGTTAAAATATCAGTATATCTGGCTTTTAGATTTATATCGTGTGGTATTTTAGAGCTATTGACGCTAATCGTGCAGTGTAGCTATAGAGTGCGATATTTTGTTTTATAATGTGCAACGTGTTGTGTTATAAGGTGTGTCGTGCTGATATATAAAGTGCAATACTTTATATGATCACATGTGGATTATGTGTTTTTGAAAACTATATTTTTGGTAGATATGATTATACATCAAATTAACTTAAATAATTGAAATAAAATGTTATTTATTATTATAAAGGTATATTTATAATAATAATAATAATAATAATTATTATTATTATTATTATTATTATTATTATTATTATTATTATTATTACTATTATTATAATAATAATAATTATTATTATGCAATTTTACAATCTCTAATGTGTATCTTGTTTAATAATATTATGCATTCTACAATACATGAATTTCTTATGTGCAAAAATCTAAACTAAAACTTAACTTAAATAAATGAGTTTTTTTTGAGTTAACTAATTTAATTAACTTAAATAATTTTACTATTTTTTATTTATACTATAAAATATATTTACTATTTTAATATTTTTATTTAATATTTTATTTTATTTTTGGATGAATATATAATATATATGTATGGTACGATAGATAAAATAATATTGTTTTTATAAACTTTTGTAAATTACAAAATTTAGCCTATGGGCTAAATTGAAATATAATAATTTTTTCTTAAATTGCATACAAATCCTTGAAATCTAATTTACAAATCAAAATCCCCAACAAGCAACCCCACAATTGTTGAAGTTCCAAATCGCTGCTCCATTTTTTTCACTGTTCATGGTACGGAAAAATCGTCGGCGAGATGGATGAGGAGGAGAAAGAGAGGGGCGGGCCTAAAAGCTGAGATCGTTGCATTTTTTCCACGCCGGCAACCTCTGATTTTCAGGAGGAGCGGGCGTCGGCGGTTGTGGAGAGCATATCGTCCCGGTTCAGGCAACGACATCGACTGGAGATGACGACGACGGTAGCCAGATTTTGTCTGAATGACCGAATTCATGGTTGAGGCTAATGGTGACAGCGGGCCTAAAATCCAGCACGTACGGCGGCACGACGGCCTGTCGAAGGTGCTGCGACGCCTATGCCGTCGGCCGGTCACGACGCCGCCGGAAATTGGGCGGCTGGTGGTGGGCTACTCTTCCTCCGCCGGTGTGGGTGTGTGGTGCAAGTTTGTGTGTATACTGTATGTAGTGTGTGTGTATATGTGTTGACTGATTTGTGTGTGTGTTGGTGCGTGAGAGAGAGAGAGGTGTGTAAGGTGTGTAAAACAATTAGGTCTGCCGTCTGCATAATACTTTAGTTGACACAAATTGAATATTAAAATAATAAATGTCTAAAATACCCTTAATGAATAAATAAATATTAGATATTTTAAGCCATTAGATCAATCAATCTAATGGCTATAATTTATTCTTATTTCTTTCACTAAGAACTATTCTCATGTGAACTCAACCCTATATATATATAGGGTCGCGCTCCGGTGAGAATGGTGTCCTAGGAAAGAAATAAGAATAAATCATAGCCATTAGATGGAATGATCTTATGGCTAATAAGAAAGTCAAATTTATACCTTCATTAAGGGTAAGATGGACATTTACTCACACATTAAATAAATATCCATTACATTACTGGGCCCCACCCCAATTAAAAAACATTTCCACTTTCTCCCACTTTCTCCCTACCACCCGTCACCTACCCCTTATCCCTCTCTCTCTCTCTCTCTCTCTCTCTCTCTCAAACACACACACAGCACCTTCGCGTCACAGCCTCCTTTCGGTCACCGCCCACGAGCAGCACCTCTGCCATCACCTTCCTCAGCCACCCACCGGTTTCCTCCCCTACCACCGCTAGCCCCGACACCGTCGGAGCCGCCATTTATGCCGTTCACGAGTTCAGCAACAAAACAAACACGATTGTTTTCTGTCCGCCTTCACAAGAGTTTCGCACCGCCATTGAAGTCGTCATCTCCGACTTAATCCTCCACCGCTAAGCTCGGCATAAACCTCCTCGATTCAGATGCACCGGCACCAAAAAATCGATATTCCAGCTCAAAGGTCGAGCTTCAATGGCAGTTTTTGTAAAAAAAAAAAAAAAAATACATCACCGGAGACTTCGCCGGAAAGCGCCGACGCCGACAATCGCCAGACGGAGAAGCAGGCGCACGGGGGTGGAGAGAGCAGAGAAGCAACAGTGTGGGCTTGGGTATAACTTTTGAAAATTAGATAATGTTTAAGGACTAAATTGCAATTTTATGAATTTTAAATAAATTTCAATTTGGCTAATGTGTCAAATGTGTGATTTATATAAAGTTTTTAAAAAAGTCATTTTAATGATAAATAAAATACAAAAATATATTGTGTATATTCACATTAAATACTGTTGCATCGGGAATGTACAATACAGACAAACGAATCGCACGTTAATGTCTTATTGAATGCACAATAGCAACCTAATGCGAATGAACTAAAATTTTTGATTTGAAAGTTTATATATCGATTACATTATACATTTTTTAATTTTATAATATCAATTATCTCATTCAGAAATTAATGTAAAAAAATTAAATAAAAATTATTTATATATTGTATTTTTTTTTTAAAAAATACATAATATTTTATTGATTGCCGGTATGCACACTAGTGTTAGACCAAATGCACAATAGCGTGCTCTATATTGCACATTAATTA